TTGAACGCAAAAGATACACTGTGCCTGGCTGTGTTATGGGACTTTTTCGTACACACCAGAATTGCCAGAACATGTCAAGCCAGGCTCTGAGAACCTGCTGTTTTGGCCTTCGAAGGAAGGAGGAAACAACTCCTCCTCCTCCTCCTGCTGTTCCTCCTCCTCCTCCTCCTCCTCCTCCTCCTCCTCCTCCTCACCCTCCTCCTCGTCCTCCTCCGTCTGTTCAACCATCGACCCTTTTCCTCCCCCGCCTTCCACGGCCACCGTGTTACCATAAGAAACGTCCAGCGAGAAACGAACGGGGCGCTTCCAGTCACGGCGAACTTCAGCAACGAACAGGTTCACGACCTGAACCTAAGGAACGGCCCGAAAACCAGAGCCCCCTCCTGAGCCCCCAATTGTCGCCCCACCCCCCAACCACCCCGACATTGGACGCCTCCCCCCTCCGATCTGCGCTCTGAAGCCCTAGGTTGCAACCGCGTCCGCCGCCCATACCTGGCCTGAAGGAAACGGGCCCTTGCGGAAACAACCCCCCAGACCACGGGGTTTTCCTCAAAGCCAACTTGTCACCCTGATTCGCTTCTTGACGGTCCCGGAGCTGGGCCCAGGGCCGACGGAGGCCGAACGCAGCGGAAGACCTCAGTGCCCCTCTCTTTTGGTTTCAAAAACATTCGACGATGAAACAATTGTGCGGGAGGATCCCGACCCCTTCCTTGGGGACAAACTTTCGTCCAAGATGCATTATCGACTGTCCGGGGCTCGAAACGGGCGCGCATGAGCCGAAATTGCTGACACCAATTTGCACTTGTCGAGGACCCTGCCATATGCGCGGCGTGAAACAATCAGGCATGCGCTCGGGGGCCGCCGTCCTGGCGGCCGCGGCTCTGGGCAGAATGCAGCGCGGAGTCACCGCGACGCGCGCCAGTCGCCAAACAGGAAACCCGACAAATGTGGGCGCAGCCACTGGGCCCCCTTAGTGGAGCTCCCTATGGGGTCACGAAGCGTGTGAGGAGCGTGCGTGCCAACATGGGTGGCAGGAACACATCCACTGAAGCCGGCGGTGGAGTGTGCCGACGCGGCAAGGACGCATGAGGACGCAGCCGCTGGGGCCTTGGGTGAAAGCAGTTATGGGGCAAGGAAACGCGCGAGGGGCGTGCCCGAATGGGCGGCGGGGGCGCATGCAGACGCAGCCGCTTGGGCGCTTCGGTCTTCGGGGGAGTCCTGGGTCCACGAAATGTGTGAGGGGTGTGCCGAACGGCGGGGGCGCATGAGGACGCAGCCGCTGGTCTTCAGTAGAGCTCCCGATGTGGCCACGAAGCATGTGAAAAATATGCCGAAATGGGTGGCGGGGACATATATGGACGCAACCACTGGAGCCTTCCGTGAAGCAAAGGGTGCGCCGGAATGGGTGTGGTAACGCCATGCGGGCGCCATGTGAGAAGAGCGCCGACATGGGCGGCGGGGACGCATGTATGGGCAGCTGCTGGGGGCTTCGGTGGTCCGTGCGGGGCCACAAAACGTGAGAAGGGTGTGCCGAAATCGGCGATTGGGACGCATGTGGGCGCAGCACTGGGGCCTTCGGTGGAGCTCCCTATGGGGCCACCAATCGCGCGAGAGGTGTGCCGAAGTGGGCGGCGGGGACGCAACCACTGGGACCTTCGGTGGAGCTCCCATTGGGCCAGAGAGCGGATGGCAGGGGCGGGGATGGGAGGAGAGAATAAGGGGAAAATGTGAGGAGCGAAGAATGCGTGGTAGTGCTGGTTCAAAGCGAGGACCCAAACCATAGAAGCGACCGCATCTTCGGACGTTCGGGGATCCACCTTCCTCCGTGGTGCTTCCCCATCCTCTGGCCTGGATTGCCTTCTTGGCCTTCCCCATGAAACAATCCACGAACATCCGCACCTTCACCTCTCGGAGCGATGGGGCCACGTCGCGCCCCCAGGGGGGCAGGCGGGACCATCCGCCGCCAGGGCCGCCCCTTTCCTCCCTCTGCGCTACCCCCCTCCATCCTTCCCCGTGGGTTCGCGCATGACGTCCGCCTCGATGCTCAGACCCCCCCCTTGCGGAAAGGCGGCCGCGCATGAGGTCGCCAATCGCCTCGACCAGTGGGTTCACCAAATCCCGCCTTGCCCCTCCTTTTCCCCCTCGCACTCCCTCCACCCTTTCGTTTCCGAGCAGCTCGGAACGTGCGCGCGCGGGGAAACACATGGGTGGCGGAGCGAAAAGGGAAACAAACACGGTTCGCACATCGACACTCCTGAAGAGGACGTCGTTGCTGCATCTGCGCCCCCTTGGCTGACCAGAGAGGGGGAAACAACAAGAGAAATTGTTTGTCTCAGGCCGGCCGCCGACGAATCCAAGGTCGACGTGGCGCGGTCTCTCGCCATTTCCGGCATGTTCGCGGGAATCCTTGGCATCTGTTCGCTCCAAACTGGCAACGACATCATTCGCCAACTTATTGAATATAACCATCACTATAGAAAATCATTTCCCCACGGTTCTTCTGGATGGGTGATCGCTCGTACGCGAGTGTGGAAAATACGCATACAAGCAAAACGATGTGTTGTATCGGTGGAATCGCGTGCGCGGCGCCGCGCACCATGCACAGAGAAAACATGGGTGGTTGGTGCCTGCCTCGGGCTAAAGGTGCACGAACACATATAACACATAGGACATCTCAATAATCGGCTGGGCAGTATCCCAAATCTACACCTCATTTAGCCCACGTTCATGCCGAGCATCTGCCCGTGCAGCCTTCAGGCGCTTCAGGACGGCACAGGCTACTGGAATACATTGTCTCATGGCTTTGGTTGCGTACTCTGAGAACGCGCCAGGGAGCGAAGTCACCATATCCAAATCACCAGAAACAGTGTGCACCACATACCTGCGGAACGCACGTGTGCGAGACTAAACAACGCACAGCGCGAGCATGCAAGCAAACTCTGCTCAAACACCGAACGCGCATGCATCAAATAATGGTCGCAGCTGCAACTGAGCACCCGTGCTAAGGAATGGAGTCGTGAGACTGGCAACGAGGGTCGCATGAATCTTCCTTCAACACGGACGAGCAAACTTGCACTGCAGCCATGTGGACTCGAATCAGCTCCACGGGAGCAAGTGGGGCCACGTACTCGCCTGGTGTAGACGCCACGTGAACTCCTCCTCCTCATCCTCCGCCTCAGCCTCCTCCTCCTCCTCCTCCTCCTCCTCCTCCTCCTCCTCCATATCCTCCTCCCTCTGCCAGCACCCCCCCCCTTCCCCTATCCTCCCTGTTTCGCAGAATTCGGCGCACAGGTTGCTTCTGGGCCCCAAGGCCGTCGAACATCTGCCTGGGATGAAGACCTGGTCCGTGGGAGGGGCGCCGACAATGCGAAAGCATCGAGGCGCTGGTCTGGGGAGGGCGAAGGGAAACGTGTCCACCACCTCGGGATCGCAGGGCCTGCTGCATCGAGGGGGACACTTGTGCGCGATGCCGCGCGAAAGCGGTGCGTAGACGTGTTTGCAGCTGACCGCCCGGCCTCCGTACACAGAAGCCCGCGGAGGAGGCTTCTCGTATCAACTCAAACCTGGTGCGACGACCTCTCCGCGGGGCCCAGGCCAGCCAGCTCTGCGGGCTGCGTTGCGCCACGGCGACGGGGGCGGTTCCCCCTGAAAACCAACAGACGAGGCACCAAGGGACGAGAGAAACGACGTCTCGGTCGACAGGCGAGAGGAACATTCTTCTGTCCAGCGAATAACTTCGACGAGCGAACGAGGAAATCCACTTGCCCCAACGCGGACATTCGGCAGGGCGAACAGGGAAACTTATCACGGGCGAGCGAACCGTGCTTTCGGGCGAACAAGTAAAACATCGGGACGTTCCTGGAGGAAACCTCCCAACGCGTCGAGAAGCTGGAAAGTCTGGATGAACACCTGATCCCGTCGCTGCCTCCAAACACCCAACGCCCATGAAGGAGAACCAGCCCTGTGAACAAAATCGCTTCTCCGACACCCCTCCCCTTTAAAGCCCCCGCGTCTCGATACACAACGGACCGATAGATAAGCCGAGGAAGTGGTTCGCCCCGAGCTTGCCCCGTGAGCCCCAACGAACTCATGACAAAAGGCCTGCTCGAATTTCACAAAAAATCGGTCGTTGGTGAATGAGTCTCGGTCGCCCCAGGTTTTTAGTTTGAGGGCGGGCGCCATTTATATCGGCAATGGGATTCGCAGACGCCCGGGTACTTCGGGAAGGACGCGTGAACACGAGTGTGATAAATCAAAGCGGCAACAAGGTGATGACGGCAACGACGCCCAATGGTAAACGCCAACACAACTACTCAGTAAAGCTATGCTAGGAGAGCAACTGCGCATACCAACCCGCTAATGCACAACATACGAGCAAGCGCCCGTCCGTCCGCTGGCACGCACACCCGCCCGCCTGGCCCGCCCGCTTGCTTTCGTCAGGTGGCAACGCAGGGAGGCGAAAACACAGTGTTATTGCACTCGCCTCTGAAAGGGGTGAACATGCCATTCCACTCTACTCGCCATGTGGCAGCGCAGGGAGCGGAAACACATTGCTCTGCTCGTCCAGGAGGAACGCACGAGGGACGAAACCAACAACACTCATCTGTATTTCACGATGGCGACGCAACGGAAATAGTTCGACGACGCCGGCGACGACGACGACAACGACAACGACGAAAACAACGACGACGACACCCGCACCGGTCACGCGCCCGCCCGCCCGCCCGCTCACCCGCACCCCCGCGCGCTCGATCGTTCGCTCACCCACACGCCGCTTAACACGCCCCTTAGCCGCCCGCTTGGTCGCCCGTTCGCCCGTTCGCCCGATTGCCCGCCCGCCCGCGCGCCCTCCGGCTCGCCCGCCCACCCGCCAGCGCGCCCGCCCGTAACGTGAACACGAACATGAAAATCAAAGCAGGCGATAATGACGACGACAACGGCGCACAACGATAACCCCCAACACAATTGCTCCACAAATCGATTCCATCAGAGCAGCTGAACCTGCCAACCCGTTACTGCAAAGCTGGCGCAAGCACGCCCGCTCGCCCAGTCGCCCGCCAATCTGCCCTCCTGGCCAGCCCGAGCGCCCGCCCGCGCGCCTGCCTGCCCGCATTCCTCTGCTGTTCTGCCCGCGGATGGGGCGAACAACAGAGACTACTCTACTCTCACCGCCACGTGGCAACGCAAGAAGCGAAAACACATTGTTCTACTAGTCATGTGGCAAACCACGGAAGAACGCAACCAATCAGACTCGTACGTGTTCCACAGAGGCACAAAAGCGACAAACAAGAAAATGTTTCAGCGACGGCGACGACGGCGACGACGGCGACAACGACGACAACGACGACGATCACAACGACGACCACACCCGCACCCTGGCTCGCTCGCCCGGCCGCCCGCCTGCTCACCCGGAACCCCCGCGCGCTCCATTGTCCGCCCGCCCACACGCGACCTAATTCGCCCGTCTGGTCGCCCGTTCGCCCGGTCGCCCGCCCGCCCACGCGCACGCTCGCCCGCGCGTCCGCCCGCTCGCCCACCCAACCGCGCGCCCGCCCGACCGCCCACACGCGCGACCGCTCGCTTGCGCGACCAAGCGCCCACCCGCTCGCCCGTCCACCCGCTCGCCTGTCCGCCCGCCCGCCCGCGCGCCCGCCCGCCCGCCCGCACCCGACCGCTTGCCCGCCTGTCTGCCCGCCCGCCCGCCCGTCCGCGCGACTACCCGCTCGCGTGCCCGAAGGCACCAATGAATCCTTAGGAATCTGACGGAAAATACGTCAAATACGCAGAGAACCTTCGATCGTGGAACATATTCGTCACATAGCTCTGCCAAAAGCAACCGAACAATTACCTCAGTGCGACCCTACCTAGAAGTTGGAGCCCCTAGGAAAGCAGCATTAGTTGCTATGCTATGCTATGCTATGCTATGCTATGCCATGCTATGCTGCGCTATGCTATGCTATGCTATGCTATGCTATGATGCGCTATGCTATGCTATGATATGCTAAGCTGTGCTATGCCGGGCTATGATTTGATATGCTATGTTGCGCTATGATATGCTACTCTATGTTATGCTATGTTGTGCTCTGCTATGCTAAAGCTCAGCGAAACTAAGATGAAGGTAAGTTAAGCTAAGGAAATCCTGAACTAAGATGAAGCTAAGCTAAGCTAAATGAGATAAGCAACGCTAAGCTAAAGGGACGTAACTGGGGGAACCGCGGGGCGGATACCGGGGGAACCGCCCGGGGCGTGCCCCACTGCCCGGCCCTGTAAGCAAACCGAGTAAGAACCCTTCTAGGCAGTAGGGAACCATCCGACCGCATTCGTCACGTTGCAGCACCTGGTAGAACAAATGCCTAGTACAATACTCGCCACGTGGTAACGCGCAAACACACCATTCTATTGCACTCGCAACGTGGCAACGACAGGGTGGTGGAAACATTGAGCATTCACGTCGACCCGCCACATGGCAACGTCGAGGGAAAGGGATGGGAAACACCCGCTGTATTTCTCCGCTCGCCGACGGCGGCGAAGGCCACGACGCCGACGACGACGACGCCGACGACGACGACAACAACGACAACGCCGACAGCGCCCCCACTCCGCCCCTCCGTTTCTGGGCTGAGGGGCAATCCAGATGCTCATACAGCCAACGCTATTCTCAGGGATCTGTCAAAATATTAATGGAATCCTTCGGATGCCCTCGATCGTCGGCTGTACACATCGCGTGGCACAGCTGAATGCGGACGCACAGAAAGGGCTGCCCTGCTCGTCACACGGCATTCCTGGAAAGGGCGAACAACTGATAGTAAATTCTGCTCGCCACGTGGCAACACGAAAGAATGAAAAACAAAAGATGCAACGCTACCCGTTCGATAAATTTGTACATATTAGTCTGCTCCACCGTGGAGTAAACACAAGACGGCGACAACGACGATGACGAGGACGATGGCGACGACAATGGCGACAACGAGGGCGACAAATATGACGACGAAAAACACGACGACGAACACGACAACGACTACGAGGACGGCCCGCTACCGTGACGACGGCGAATACGACGACGACGACAAAAACAACGACGACGGCGGCTAGGAGGATGACTGCTACGACGACGACGACGACGACGAATACGACGACTATCCGCCCGCCGAATACCAATCTCTTTTCTCTCCTGGTGGCGACCCGGAAATTGCCGGCCCCCCTCCGCGTACTGGCTTGTTTACACACAGGATTCCCGGATAACGGGTTCTCGCTTGGGTTGTTTTTCAAAATGCTGCTCTCGCTGAGGCGCTGGCTCCATTTTCAGACCACCGCTCGTTCCGAATCGTGCTCCCGCTGCAGCGCTGGCCTCATTTCCGCGCTTCCGCTCGTTCCGAGTCGTGCTCCCACTGCAGCGATGGACTCATTATTTCCAGCGCCATGCCACGGAATGGTTTTCGGTCCTTCCAAATAGGCTCCAAAATCTAGAGAAATGCCCCCCCGAAGAAAACTTCGGAAGTGATTACACATGCGGTGTCGATTCGTTGTTTTTTGGGGTCGCAGAAGCCCCCGCACTTTGGGGCGTCGCCACGCCATGCTATGTCAGGCTCCGCGTCCTCTGAATCATGCTCCCGCTGCAACGCTAGTCTCATTTCCGCGCGTCCGCTCGTTCCGAATCGTGCTCCCGCTGCAGCGATGGCGTCATTATTTCCAGCGCCATGCCACGGCGGCATGGTTTTCGGTCCTTCCAAATAGGCCCCAAAATCTAGAAAATGGCCTCCCGAAGAAACCATCGGAAGAGACTACACAATCGGTGTCGATTGCACATGTTACGCGTTGATCTTCAACAGCATGCTATGCCATGTAATGCTATGTGCTATGCCATGCTACGACATCCGATTGGACAAATAGAACAGAGATCTACGCCATGGAAAGGGATGGGAGGGAGGGGTAGAACATCAGATATGATGCGAGCGCACCTAGCTTGTTCCCCCCCCTCTCTACTCCTCCCCCTTCCCTGCATCATCCCCCTCCTCCTCCTACTACTCCTACGCCTCCGACCCTCCTTCTTCTCCCCCCTCTTCCTCCCTCCCGCAACAAGAAGAAGCGCAAGACCAAGATAGACACCAATCGGAGACGACACAGAACATTTGAAAACCGATAGCGCAAACTGGAGAATCCACGCATATGACCTGCTTTATGCATTGAAAACTTGCACGCGGAACGGCCAAGCGGCAGCACTCCTGAATCGACGTTCCATCGTAAATCGACGCGGGCCGCTGCCCGAATTTTGGAAACTCGAGCGCGCTGCGTCCGACCGTGCTCACCTGGGGTTCTTTATTCCAAGGCGGCCTGGATAGAGAGAGTCACGCCCGCGACCACGCCTCGCGCGCTGAAGGTGGAGGGCAGAGTACTGAGACGGCAAAAGAAAAAAAAGCGGGGCTCCGAAGATAGCCCGATGAGGCGCCGCCTTCAAAGAGCTAGTACGCGACGAAATCACGAGCGAAGTGCACCCCCCAACCGCCAAAGAAACGTGGGACACCTGCAGCCACCGCAGATCGCACGCATACGACATAGACCAAGGCAAAATGATAACCGAACAATCACGCCCCAAATGTTTTCTACCAGATAGAAGATGGGGAAACATATGAGAACAACCAGAACGCATGAAACGGAAATCACAAGACACGCCCTTCCTATGTTTGCAAACCTCCGCGCGGGACAGCCGAGCAACCACGCGGCTAGATCTCCATTCCAGACAAAAAGCATAGAGATCAGCCCGATGAAGCGCCGCATCCGGAGAGCACCGAACACAACGAAAGCAGATGTCAAGCACATCCCCCGACCGCCAGAGAGACTCAGAAAACTTGCCACCACGGCAAGTCCGAAGCATCAGATGAAGCCCCGCCCACAAACGCTGAATCAGAACACTCAAACAAAAAGGCACCCCCCAATCAACCGCAGGCACGAGAGAATTCCCTGGGTCACCCGAGAAAATGTCCTGGTCACGCCCCGCAAGATTTCTCCGCTTGACCGAAATTCCCCCGTTCGGCCGCAGACAACTTCCCCGTTCGAGGCCAGATTTCCTGGTCGCCGGCTGGAGTTCTTGGTTCGCTTTTACACCTCCGGCAGTGACCCTCCCTTCCCCCGACCGCCATCGAGCACCTCACGCTCTGGGTGCCGCCTCTGGAACTCGCTCAAGCAATGCAACCGCCGGTTGTTCTCGCAGAAATAAGTCGCCGGATGGTGCGGTCCACGGGCGTCTTGCTGGAAGCCCCTCGGGGGGGGCAGATCGGGGACGGGAGGGGAGGATGAAGGGATGAAGAGAACGAGGGGAGGGACGGACTGAAAGTCCCTCTGGTAAATACTGTCGTGTTGTATGTTTAATGCGCCCAAGCCTCAACAACAAATTCTTGTGCGTCTTCGGGTTAACTTTCCCGCTCTCGAGATCCGCGATGAGATCATCGAGCTTCCTGCCATCCGAGAACTCATGCTTGATGCTCGCCTGGGTGAACCTGACCTGGCTGACGGGCAAATCCAGGACCTGTCGGAACGGGACACCGTGTGTATATGTATGTAAATATATACATGTATGTATATGTATATATATATATATATATATATATATATATATATACAAACGTGTGTACATGCATGTGCACACGCACATTGACATGTATACGTGTATATATGCATATGTATACATGTGTGTGCATCTGGATGTACATGTGCATGTGCAATATACGGACGTGAATGGTTATGCACATGTTTATGTACATGTTTACATGTATGTATGTGCATGTGTGTAGGTGTATACGGATACGTGTGTATGAGAACACGTTTACGCATATGCATATGTGTGTGCAATTGTACATGGAAATGTATGTATAAGTTTGTACAGGGGAAAGGGGGCAGCCACAAGAGGGGTCGGGCGGAGGTCTCCGACAGGAGCCCCGAGAGCGAGCAGAGTACCATTTTATCAACACCACTGGGGCGACTCCGCCCAAGTTCTTGCATTTGCGATCGCACCCGCGAGAAAGCGTACTTCAGCCCGGGCCGATGCCAGGGCCGACCGAACCGCTGTCACAGGGCACGCCAACTACATAAAAATATGTAGTGATGAACGGCCCATGTGCTCCAGGCCCAGCTCCTCCAACAGCTTGCCCCACGAGCGCCTGGAGCTGCCCTGGCTCACAGGCAGCACGAGCTCGGTGTCTCAGATGACCGAGACGAGGACCTCCATGATGGCCTTGGTCTTCTCTCCACGCCCCCGCCATCCCAGGAGCAACGCGATCCGCCCGTCCACGTCGATTCCCACGTCACTCTTTCGCAGCTGGCACCAGTCCTGCTCTCTCAGCCAACCGTCCAGCTGCACGAGTGTGGCAGCTCCCTCAATTATCTGCCCCTTCTCGCAGAAAGCCCTGATGATGGCCCCCATCGCCGCCACCGGGATGAGCCCCCCCTCCCCGCCAAAGCCCATGCGCCCCCAGCTCTTGAGGGCGCGGGCGGAGACGGGCAGGCAGTTCCTGCGGTCCTCGAAAATGTGCATGAACCCGTTGAACAGATAGCTCGCCTTCATGAAGCTGGCCTGCCGCGCGTAGCATACGTCTGCGATATAATCCGCCAGCGCCCTGTCTCGCTCCGCGACAGTCCCGGAGGGCTGCTCGGGGCGCTCCAACTCCACTAAGAACTTCTTGATGGCCCTCTCGCGCTGGACCTTGGCGTTGTCGTCGACGGCATGCACCGCGAGCCTGTCGTTGCACGGAGAGGCTTCGCCGTGGCCATCTCCCAGGCCAGCGCCCCCCTCTGCTTGAGCGGGGGTAGCTCGCCTGCTCGCGGCGCCCCCGCCGCCCCCTGCGTCGAGGCAAACAGGATCACCAATTGGAGTGTCCAGCGTCCTCTCGTCGTCGTAGCCCTCGAACCCACTGGGCCAGGCATCGGGGCGCGTACCTCGTGCCGTGGCATGCCTTCGTCTCCAGCGCTGCTCCCAACTGCACTTGTCGAGAGGGCCCGTCGGCCACGTTGACCTCGGAGGGGGGCCAGCGGTAGTAAGGTCGAAATCCGCACGCCGGGTGCGCCGCTCCTGCCATCCTTGCCAAAGCAGCAGAGCGCGCGCTGAACTCCTCCCTTTGGTCAGTACCCCCAGGCTCACCAGCGAGTCCGTCATGGTGAGCCATCTCGATTTCCATGCCCTCGAAGTCTGCGAAAGATCCCGCAGGAGTGCTATCGCCCGTAGCTCGGGCACGTTGTTGTGCTCCTCCATCTGCCGGCGACCCTGGAAGAGGACCCTCCATCTCCGTTCGTCGAGCCAGCTGCCCAGCGGTGGAAGATGCTGAGTTCGGGCCCCCCCGACCCGCGGCAGACCATGTCGCAGTCTCACCTGCGATCCGTCTGGGGCCCTCTCCCAGCAGGGCCCGACGTCCTTCGCGACCTGAGCATAGGCCTCGCAGAAGGCGACGGGGCAAAGGGCAGGCGAGTTCCTTCCACTCGCGGTGCACATGCCGGGCCACCGAACAGCGTCCCCCCGTCCCTTGGCACCGAAGCTCCATCGCCCCGAGGGCACTGCAATTGGTCACCAAGGTGGTCGGATTTTTCCACTCCTCCCCGCACTGGCAGTAGTCCAGGTTGATCCTGATGACCTCGGGCCTCGCGAGCAACGCGAGCATGGGCGGGAAGGCCCACACCCAGCTTGACTCAGGTTCTCGATCACAAAAAAATCCTCCCTGATACAGAAGAGGCCCACCTGCGCCGCCAACATGCACAGCGTAGATCCCTCCTGGGCTTTGTCCGCGTCGATGGGCCCTAGCCCTGGTAGGCCCCAGGGCGAGTCGACCCTTCTCGGAGGTGGTCGCCGGGCCCGAGAGCAGGTAGACCAAAGGGGGGCCACGTGCGTCCACCACCACCGCCGCCGCAGAGACGGCGGAAGAGACGCTCGAGGTTCGGGACCTTGAGGAGATCGCACTCGCTGCCCCTCATCAGACCCCAGCCCCCCCCCCAGGATAGAGTCGCAGCCGGGATCGCCTCGAGGAGCCCCCCGCTGCCAGCGAACAGCTCCAGCAAGCCAGGCCGCCTCATCTCTTGGGAAAGCGGCGCATCGTCCTCGTCATTTGCAGCGCCTACCTCCTGCTCCACGTCGGCGCGTGCTCTGGCCGCCTGAATCGCCCAGGACTGCAGGGCACCTCGACTGAGCTCGGCCCCGATCTCCTCCGCGTCCGACTGCGCAACGACCGCTGCACAACCCTCCTCCGACGCGTCCGTCGCGTAGACCTCCTCCAACCAAGGCGCCTCCAGATCCGCCTCCATGAACGCACGTAGCGCTGAGAGCGCCTGCAGCTCGCTTCGAACCTGATGGTCAAACACCTGCCACCTCGAAGCCTCCTCCTTGCTGAAACTGGTCATCCAGCGGTGGGCGGCATTCAGGATACAGAAAGAAAACCGCCCCGTTGGTCATGGTGGCCCACGTCCAAAGTCCCAGCAGGCTGCTGAGGGCCGCGAGCGGCGCCCGACCCAAGATGACCACAGCTTTCGTCGCCAGCACCATGCCCCTCATCTTGTCCTGGACGACGCGGGGCCTGTGCGGCCTCGACCCAATGGAAAGGCGAAGACCCCTCGTCAGGCCCTCGCCCTAGCCCTCCTTGTGCACAGGGAGCCCCTTTCGCGACTAGGTGCGCCTTCACCCTCGCCCAGTCGACATCCAGCTCCTCCCCACTCTCCGAGCACAACTTGAGCCCGATGTAGTCCTCGATGTAGAGCAGGAGCATCAGCTGGACCTTCTTGAAAGACGGTGTGGGGCACCCGTAGGTGATCTACCACAAATTGATCTCGGGCAAGCGCCCCAGCGCATCCGGAAGACAACTGTGGGTCAACAAGACCGCCCAGCTGGACCCCATGACTGAGGACATGGCCCCGACTCCGATGTCGTCGGCCTCGGGCGTCGGCATGGAGATCCCCTGCAGGCAAGCGCAGTCGTAGATCTGCTGCGGGGCCACCTCGGGCAATGCAAAATAGTCCGCCAAAGACGCTGGCCACCGTAGCCGGTAGAAGCAGTCGGGGATATCGCCCTGGTTGGAGTAGAGCCGCCGCCCAAAATATTGACCCTTCTGCAGTCCCAAACCAGGCGGCTCTTCTCCACTTCCTTGCCCGACTCGCTCTAGTTCTTGATGACAACGAACACACCGACCCGCTCGCGCATGTTCTTGACGCATCCGACCATCCCCGAGCGAAGCATTCGAAGGGTGAGCTCCAATCGTTTGTCGGCCCGCCTCCAGCCTGGGTCGGCGTAGCTGCGCGTGCCCTCGTAGCGGCCCCAGTCGACCTGGCCCACTTCCTTGATCATCTCGTTGCTGACGGGGTGCGCCCCCGCCGTCTCAGAGAGCCACATGATGTCCAGGCCCTTCGTGTCGGGCCACGGCGCCGAGACCTCCTTGGCCACCATGGGGAACGTGCCCCCCTCGGTGAGCCGCTTGCCAGTCGTCATCATCCTCGTCCTTGTACGTGTAGTCTGGTAATCCAGTGCTCCTTCCCTTACCAGGCGGCGGATCACCGCCCCGCCGTCGACGATGGTGCCCCAGCACCCAGACAGAGCGTGCCTGTCCCACAGGTCGTTGATGATGGCCGTCTGCAATGGGGTCGCGGTCCGCCGGTCCCGCCAATCCCCCCGCCGCTTCAAGATCAAGGTCTCCTGGCCCAGATGACCTGCCGCCAGCCCTCGAACAGCCAATGCCGCCCTCTGGGCTCGAGCAAGCGCCAGCTGCAGCTGCCTCTCGCCCAGGCCCTGCGAGGAAGGCTGGGCAGACAGCGGGCGCGGCCCAGCAGGAGGTGAAGCGCTCGCAACGGGCCCCGCTTCCTCTCGCCCATTTTCACGCGGGACAAGGACCACCAGGTGGCCCGCGCCTCGACGCGAGAAAAAAGCGCCGCTGAAGTAGAGGTCGGCCTCGGAGACGCCCCCGTCCGACCTGGAGACATCGGTCACCCCCACGAAGCCGCGCAGCCGCGGGCGCGCGACCAAGCACCAGCCCGCTGCCTCGAAGGCCCGCGAGCTCCCTGGCGACTGGAGGGCAACAGAACCAAGAGAGCGGCCTTGCGCCTCGCGCGCGCAATTGGCCAGGACTTGCCACGGGAGCCCCGGCCGCAACCTATTCGTGATCCGCGCCCGTCGAGCTGCCGTCCTTGGCGCCCTGCAGGTGCTTCGCGATGGTTGCCCTCCTCTTCAGCTTCTCCGCCACTTCGTCGTCGGCCTTGAGGTTGATGAGCTTCGCGCCCCCGTCCACCTTGAGGTACTCGCCCGCCAATGCCCAGTCGACCTTGGAGCGCCACTTGCTGCCGCTCTGCTGCCCCTTCGGCCGCTGCCAGTCGCTGGCGCACTTCGCGTTCTCGTAGGCCTTCCAGATCGCGTAGAGGCGAAGACAGGAGAGCTACGCCGCGGAACTGTTGACGAGCTGGTCGCAAGCCCCATCTGCCGTCATGCGATCCAGCACCATGGCCAGCGTCGTCGCCTCTGAGCTGATGGTCGCCCGCTGCAGCTCCTTCGACCTCAACCAGTCC